AACCCAATTAAATACCCTTTCTAAAGTGAAACTTTTCGACCAAAATTGACCCATCAAAGATAGGTATGGCTAGATACTGTGAGACAGGATAGAAAACTGATAGAGTAGAAAATATTATATTCGACTATGAAGTGAAACCATGTTGACCTGCAGAGTAACAGATAACTCTAGACTGATGATACAAAGTGTCACGCACCCTTATTTTCTCGAATGAACTTCTACAGGATAAATACATATAATGCAATTCATGTTTAGATTTTGAAAATTGTTAAGCGACGAAGCCATCTACATTGAAAAAGATTTTGTGAACTACCTGGAGTTATTTCATTGCTTCTGACTTGGAAACGACCTGGAAGAATTTTGCGCGCCACGGACTCGCATATTCATCCACAAATACCCGAGGTATTAATAAGAATAATGCTAAAAAATCTATGAGTTAAAAGGTGTAAGTACATGTAGTGCTCAGAGTTACTGTATGTGAAATATATAAGTTTTTGAAGCTAATATATTACACTTGATTCTGAGCGTGACAACCAAATATGAGGTTTTCCCTAGGTTGCGTTTAACTTCTCGCTGTTTCTCTCTTTCTTAAAATGACTCAAAAATAATTTCATTCCTAAAGTCTGAAGTATTTAACATCCTCTAACCACAAATATGAGTGTTTTGAAGGCGTAAAAAAACGGCAAATCGGTCATAAATACTAGTGAAATCTAGAGAGGATGAGGAAGCATCTAAACCCAATTTACTATGACGTCACAGCCCAGTCCCCTAGGTTATCATTTCCACGCGGCCAGAGGTCAAAGAACTGCCGATTTTCGCACTTTTGACCGCTCGAAAAAAATTTAAAGAAATGTCAGAATCAAAAAAATCTTTGGACACGTTACTTAGAATAGCTTATGTTTCGATATAAAAAAGTAAAAAAATTGAGGGTCATAGGCACTTTTAAAATGTTCAAAACCTATCCAGCTGAGCGGTGAATTTTGTAAAGATGTTTTTCCCTACCGAACATTTGAAGGGTTTTTCTCACGAGAGCCAATAGAAAAACAGAACATTTACGAGAACCAATCAGGTTGAAGAAATCGTCATTTGTTTTTTCGATCTTGAGAACGAAACTTGACAAGGGAAAGTGGAATGCAAAGAAGCGATGAACACCTTATGTCTGCTTTTAAAAATCTGTCTTATTTCTCCCTACTCCTCATACACGTGCCTCATAACGATATAAAAAATTAATTCCAACCGAGAGGATATCCTAATTAGCTGCCCCATGCAAATGATAACAAAGGTTTTCATTCCTCTGTGTATTTTTACTCTTTGATCGATCCTCCACAATTCAGTACCAGGGCATGACAGGTGCGTGGTAGAAAGACTCTAAAAAACCCAGAGTTTATTTTCAAGTGAAAAGCGCATTTTCATTAGATATTCAGTGATATACTTTATACAACTAACAAGAGATTTTGGCGGGCGGTATCCCAGACTGAATAGCGAGACCTTATAAAAGCTATAAACGAAACAGCTTCTTGCTTCTATTTATTAGGGGGATTCGATAAAATCAAGAAGATCTAATTAGGGGAGTTCGTAGTTGTCATCAAACAGTTGCCATTATTAAACAACAATACAAGGAATAAAATTTTGATGCAAGGTTGATCAATTATTTATCGGCTCTCCTTTAAATTCGGGATGCACGAAGGCTAACTTTCAGTCTTTTTTCGATGTTGTCAGTGTTTTCGAAGTACAAGTTTAATATGAATACTTTACATCTCTCCAGTTTCATTCTACACTTGCTACACACGGTCGCGTCTGAAGAAGCTTTTCGTGCAAGTAATTCAGGTGTTTTCTCGTTTGGAAACTTCTTTTCTCACAAAGACCACAAGCTTGTTGCAGCGAAACTGAAGGAGGAAAAAGTCGAATCTTCTGATAAATGCCTAGTTCGATGCGTCCAAACTCACGGATGTTTATCTGTCAATGTGAACCGCACAACTGGTGATGACCAAGGCTTATATGTGTGTGAGCTCTTGGCTTCTGACAAATATGAAAACCAGTCAAATTTTACACCAAGCAAAGGGATTAATCACTACAGCATTGTGGTAAGTCTTTGTTGATCTGCAGAGTATCGAGAGATTGCTCATATATGCACGGGAATCATGGGAAAAGAGGCCATTTTACTTTAAAATCCCAAGTTCGAGTGAAAGGAAATCGCCTTTTCTTTCGCGGTATTTTTGTGTGTCGTGTTGGTAGCGAGCTAAAAAACTGAAATTTTCGTTGCATAATAAACTGTTTTTTGTTGCTTAGGAACTTAGATAATTGTCATAGATAAAGTTATGCAAATAAATAAATAAATTKGATTTTCGGGTCTTAGTTATATTACAAAGTTAATTCAAATACTTTCACTGTGGGTTTTTTCATTTGAAAACTTAAAATTACTGCAACTGAGTGAATCGGTGAATATCTACTAAGGTGTAGTCAAATTAAATATTCACTTAGCCTGCGGTGATTGAAGTATTGCTTTACTTTCCGGCATTTTAATACTCAAAGTCAAACCATTTCATGCGTTCCTATGATGGTTTCAAGATTCATTTAGTCATTATTAGAAGTTTGATTTCCATCTTGCTTTGAAGCTTGCATTAATGAATCGTAAATTTCAATCCCGGTCTTTGCCTAAAAACATCAAAATATTTATCTGTGAAAGGATTTTAGCTACAATTGTTRAAATAATTTAGCTTTGCACGAGTCTGTGAAGAACTAAATAAACTTTTAATCCGTGCCCAGAATTCAAATTCGCAACATTCGTTTCATTAATGCAAGCTTTAAAGCAGGAAAGAAATCAAACTTCACGTTGTTCATAAATGACTACATCAATTTGACAAAATCATTTTCAACCRTTAGAGTCCATGTGAGAAGAAACCATGCAAGCATCAAGGAAAGTGTGTTCCAATCTATAAAAACCAGACCTACAAATGTGAATGTCCAGCAGGCACACTGGGACAAGACTGTGAGATACTTATACCAGGTGAGTGGTTCAGAGCTTTAAAAACTTCTCATATGACCTTCTATGTTCTTTTAAGCTAAAACGGCCGAGTCAACCACACAATGCTCACATCGATTATTTATTGCTTAGCGCATTTCACACAAGACTTACTATGATCTATTTATTGCTACACGCGTAATAGGTAAATTACGAGCCTTGTTTATTGCTACCATTATTGTTGAAGTGCGACCCTCGAAGTTTGATGTTTTGGTTTGAGTTAAATGAATGACGTCATACGTTACTCGTGCCAGTCTTCTTGAGCCGAATTCTTGTAACCAGAAATTAATGGCGGACGATCGAAAATAAGTCGTACAATTTTGGCCCTTTCCTTTCGAATATTAGAAAAATATTTCAGTGAGTGGTTGTTAATATATTCGAGATTATTTCAGCAACGTTTCAGCTCAAATGAAAGAGTTTTAATTTTGGAGCGATTTTCGTCCAAGTGCCCCTTTAAGCTTATTATTTTTATATCATATCAAACAGTTCAATGACACAACAGTTTCCTGTAAAATCACAGTCTTGAGTTAGCCTTGCTAAATACAAACAAGAAAAATATTGAAGAGAATTTTAGAATTCACAATCTTTAAAATTGGATTTACCGTAATTATGAAAAATGGCGTTCAAAACCGTCGACAACTAAATACCACAATGCGAGGACAGTTAGTAGTCTTTCCCCGTCTTTGTTTTTGCATTTCATAAAAATGAGGAAACAGGTCTAAGTTATCATTGAAATTCTCGTTTGCCGGGGATGGAGCTGATATTTTTGATCTGAGGATTGAAAGAAACCGCAAAGGCCTAAATGTGATTGGTTGATAAGAACGTCATGGCAACCGTGATATCTTCACATGTAACGGATATGACATCTTCACTGAGTAGGATGTACGAGATTTTAGACACCGGATAAATCCTGATATTTTTATCGATATCTATATAATAAGGAAACAAAACAATTTTCACTCTCTGGATAACTCTCTGTCAAAGGAGTTAGTCTAGGAATTGCAAAAGCATTCCTATGGCCAGTGTTGTAATTTTTCATATTCATGGTCACATTCACTGACTTGCATGTTTGTTCATCAGTTTTCCGCAGCTGCGCACAGCGATTTGCCGCTGGCTACACGAACAGCGGTGTCTACGAAATCACTACCCCAAACACAAGCAAGATTGACGTATACTGTGACCATGGAAACGGT